TGAGGGAGGATTTTGTATTTCTGGTGCCAGTACAGTGTCTTGCATATTTAAAAAAAAATTGAATTGTTGAATTATAAAGGCAAAAATTGAGGGAAGGGTGCAGTATGACAGACCTCTTCTAATATTCTAGCAGGTAGAAACATGTCTTGTGTTTCCATGGAAGGAATTACAAGGACTGATTGACTAATTCCTTCCAAGACTTCCATTTTAAGGAAGATGCTTAGGTCAGCCCTGTCTTCCTTTCTCTTCCAGGCATACTGGACTCTCCAAACTTTTTCAATCTGTCCTTCCTCTCTCCCCATCACCTTCCTTACCTTCCCTAGTTTTTCAATTTCTATGTACAAGCCATCCTTGATTACAATGTAAGCTCCTTGAGGGCAGGGCCTGCCTTTCTTTCTGCTTGTAGTTTTTTTTTTTCTGGGCTTAGCACAATGCCTGGCACTTAGTAAGTGCTTAATAATTTTTTTTTAATGACTTGTTGACAACATGTGTGTGGAAGTTACATAGAAGTACATTGCAGCTTATTATTAGGAAGAGTTTGATTTCAGCTGTTCAAAAACAGAAGAGGCCGCCATGTCCAGTGTGTCCATTGAGCAGATACCATGTTCCCTTGTCAGGGATATTGCCGACTGAGGGGCTTCTTGCCTTAGGTTGACTAGAAAACCACTAAGATTCCTTAAAAATCTAAGATTCCATGACTGTAGATTATAACTCCTTAGTGTCAAGGAACTATGATAGAACCCTAAGGAACTCTAATAAAAGTTCCTGCTTCATATTTCTGTAATCTCTTGTTTTTATCTCCAGAGCCAGAATACTGTGAATGGGCCCTCATTTAGAGGGGGCACAGCATAGAATGCAGGACCAGGAGGAGTCAGGAAGACTTGGGTTTGAAATCTGCCTCAGACCCTTATTAAATGTGTTATTCTGAGCAAGTCATTTAACCATTTTTTCTCCCTCAGATTCAGTTTCCTCATCTGTAAAATGGGGCTAATAATAGCTCTTGACTGAGGTAGTTGTAAGAATCAAATAAGATAATTGACCATTTAAGCTGCATAAATGTCTGGTATTGTTATTAAGTGCTTGTTAAAAAGGAAAATGCAGCTGTCGGCAAGTAATTTTAGCACTAATACTTATAATAATGATAATAGCTGACATTTATATAGCACTTTAAGGTTTACAAAGTGCTTTACATACATTACCTCATTATATATAATGAGAAACTAAGAGTTATAGAAAGCTCTGTTTGTCCTAGATATATCTGTCTCCTCTAGCCTTATATTAAAACTCTTCACAAAGGCACCCTTGTAGTAAAACTCTTTGTACTGCAAAGCTCACTGGTTTTTGCAATCCAAGACTGGACTGTGAGTCCCCACCCTGATCCTTCTTTACTGTGTGACCCTAAGCAATTCACTTGTCCTCTCTGAACTTCAGTCTCTTCCTCTATAAGATGGGGGTAATAATACATCTCTTGCCTACTTGCAGGACACATGGTAGCTGTGAAGAAAATATGGTAAACTTTAAAGTTTATAATGCTGCTTGTTTCATTTTTTCTGCAATTACCTTTCATCTACTCTGTATTTATCTTGTAAGTTAGGATTCATATGTGTTGTCTACCCCATTGGAAGCTTCTTGAGGGCAGGAACTGTTTTTGCCTTTTCTCTGTACCTCCAGGCTTAGTATGCTGCCTGGCACATAGCAGACATTTACTAATTTCTCTAGGACAGTCTTCTAATATCCTTTCACCCTTTCACAGACTTGATTGATGCCAGGATGAGAATTCAGTGCAGGCTGAATGATTAATTTCTCTAAGACAGGCTTAATTAGCTATCGATGAGGTGTTAATTGGAGGGGAGAAAGTCTGGAGGGGTGTCCTACCTTGTTGCTGTTATATATCACCAATGTAGATTTCTTTACTTATTTGTGGCTATTGAAATAGATAATTTTAGAATAGGAATTAACCTTAAGCATCATCAGTGGCAATGCCCTCCCCCTCAAACCCCAAATCAATGAAATTTAATCCATCATCTGCATAAGGCATAAACTGGCCAGCTCAGTAAATATTCCTAATCCTATCAACCAGGGTGTCCATGTCCATACCCTCCACCATGAGAGGCTACCTCCCTGATTATGCCTCATCTCCCTTTTAAGACATTGAACCACTGTGCTTACCCTGCTTAACCCCCAAAAGAAATAGATAAATGGCATGTCCAAAGTCATTCAGCTACTTAATAGTAGAGAAAGTTTTCCTGATGACCTAACCTGGGTCTTTACCATGAAGCTACTATTTCATTTCCTTGTTTCTTACATGATGCAGGATTATCAGAAAGGGTCTGCAGAGGAGAGGTTTTTGTAGAGAGGTTAATAGAATGGAAAATCCCTCACAGGGAATGTCAAGGTGGTATTCCTTTTGTGTATGGAGTTGGTTTAGACAGCCCTCTCGAGGTCCCTGCCAGTTCTCAGATTCTGTGATTCTGTGACTTCTGATGTGTACCCAACAAAAGGGCTTGTATGGGATTCTTTGAAGTTTTAATTGAGGCCCTCAAAGCAAGAGTGAAGGGTGAAAAACAATTTCAAATTGTTCTAATGTAATAGTATAGTCAACAAATACACAAAGAGGAGACCAAAGGTCAGTGCAAAACAAATGTCACACTTAACCCATAGGTTATCAATATCTCACTGGGCTTGTTTATTTGATGAAAGTGGTAGGGATACAAAGACATAGGTTGTTTAGATTCTAGGGTCTTACTCAATCAATCCAGCATTGAACATTTCAAGTTCCTATTGTGTGCCTGGGATTGTGAGCTTATGTAGCTCACGTTTATACAGCTTTATGATTAAGAAGGTACTCTGTATACATTATCTGATTGATTCCTTATTATCTCCATTTTACAGATGAAAAAACTGAGGTGGAGAAAAGTTAAATGACTTGCCTAGGGTCACACAGCTAATAACTGAGATTAAATTTGACCTCAGGTTTTCCTGAGTCCAGGTCCAGTGCTCTATCTATGTACTACTTAGCTGCCTCATAATGGATGAATTAAATATTAAGAATAAGCAAAATGTGATTTACAGTATATAACAGTCTGTAATGGCTCTTTCAACGAAAGAAAAGTATTACCTGTTTTAAGTGCTGAGTACATAGTATTGAGCTTTGGGCTAAGTGCTAGTAATACAAACAGAAGCAAACAAATATATCTTTGCCCTCAAAGAACTTATATCTTAATGGAGGAAGACCACACAAATAATGGAGGCTTTGTGTAAGGTAGGAGAGAGGTTGGCTGAGGATACTCACTGGGTGGTGGCATGATTTGGAGATAGCTGGGATGTGATGTGGTAGTTTCATTCTGGGCAAAATTTACCTATGGAGACCCCTTCCCTTCAGCAGGTTCATGGACCTAAACATCAGGTGTTCATAGAATATTGGAGTTCCAAGGGAGTTATGTATTGTTTCGTCTAATTAACTTAAATCCTCCCCCCAAAAAAAAATCCTGAGGCTCAAGGAAGTTTAATGAGTTGACCAAAATCACATAACTACTACCATAACAGAATCATAAGATTCAATTCAACAAGTACATTTGTTAAGTGTAGGGCACTATGTTCTGAACATACAAAGACAAATGTTAAACTCTCTGCTCTCAAGGGATTTACGTTTTACTGAATCACAGGTTTAGGCCTGGGGTTGGACAGGGGTGCAGTGGTGGTGGACCTTATAGGTTATTTAGTTTCCCCACCTCCTGTCAAATGTAAGATCCTGGAGGGTGGGAATTGTTTTGTTTTAATCTTGGAATCCCCAGCCCCTAGCAAAATACTTTGTATATATTACATGCTCCACTGAATTGAATTGAGTTCAATTAAAGAGGGAATTGAGTCATACAGGAAGAAGGAACATCTGAGATTATTGCACTGCACAATGAGAAAGGCATGACTTCGGGGTCAAAAGACCAGAGTTTGAATCCTGACTCTTGTGTTTACTACCTACCCCTTTGACCTTGGACAAGTTGCTTCACATATTAGGGTCAGAGTTTTTCTTCGTGCAAAATACATTCTTTCCTTAGAGGTAATCTAATCCAACCTTCTCATTTTACAGATGAGGAAACTGACCCAGAACCCTCAGGACCTTTCCTGAAGAGTCTCTGTCAAAGAATGAGCTACTTTCCCTTTGACCCTATTGCATTTATCAGGGCTATTTTTGGTAGTTCTTATCCAGGCTGCAAAGCTCCTTGAGGGCAGGCCCTGTTATTTCTCATCTCTGAATTCCCAACACTCAGCCTAGTGCCCTGACCTTCATAGCTTAATGAATATCTGGCAGTTCCTCGGCAACTTGGTAAGAGGAAGACATTCCATCTTTCAATTCATTGCAGCCCTCCCTGTCTGGAATCTGCTTCCTCCTCACTTCTGTTTTCTGACTTCTAGACTCAGCTCAGATCCCACCTTCTACAGGACACAAAATCCATTAAATTGTAATCTCCTTGAGGGAAGGGACTGTCTTTTCCTTTTTTTTTTTTTAAATATTCCCAGCACTTAGCGCAGTGCCCTGCACCTAATATGCCCTTAACAAATGTTTACTGAATGAAATGAATGAAACCATTCCAAGTTTTTCCAGCTGCTGGTGCCTTGTCTCAGATTCTCTTCCATTTGCTCTGCTTATATATTCTTTATGTGCCTAGCTATTTCTGAGCTGTCTTCTAGAGTAAAATGTAAGCTCCTCAAGGGCAGGTATGGCGGTTTTTTTGGTTTTTGTCTTTTGCTCTTCTTTGTATTTCCATGTCTAGCAGCTTTTAATCATCCTAACATCCAGCGTGTTCTGCATTGCACTGGGGTACAAGGAAGGGCAAAAACAGCCCCTTCTCTCCCGGAGGGGAAGACTCCGGATAAAGCACTGTCTAAGGTTAAGGTGGCCTCGGAGGGAAGCCTAATTAATAAATGCTGACTGGAGTATTCCCTTTAAGATGTCCCCAGCAGTGTGTCGGGGTGTTCATTATGGGGCAGGCTCTTGACCACTAGATAACTCGAAGGTTTTTTTTTAAGTGACTCTTCTTGGCCACATCCCAAGGTCGAGGCTTGGGCTCCCGGCTGGGCTTCGCCTTTGGCAGCCAAGGAACTTTGGGCCTCGTGCCGGGCCGTGGTTGGCGGGGCAGCCCTCCTAACGGAAGGTGGCTCCGCTCCACCTCGGTCCTCAACAGGCCACCGAGGGCAGCCGGGGGTGGGCAGCCAGAGGTGAGCAGCCCGGGCGGCAGCTCGTCTAGCACGAGGCGGCGGCCGAGGAGTTCGCGCTCGGCAGAGGGGCCGGCCGGCAGGGCTGAAGCGGGAAAGCGGCGCGCCTGCGCGCTAGCGCTCCCGGGGCCAGAGGCGCACATCGGTGCGCTCGCGGAGGGAGGTCCCCCCCCCACTCCCCGAGCCGAGGAGCGGCGCGGCGCGTACAGGGCGGCGTGTGACGCGGGGACGCTGCGCGCTCGCAACGTCGCCTCGGTTTGACGCACACGGCACCAAACTGTGAGTTTTTTTGGGGGGGGATTTGGTCGGATTCGCCGGCCCTCGAGCGGGTTTCGGGCCCTGGGGCTGAGGCGGCGGCGGGCCTGAGGGGGGCGGAAGGACTCGGGCGGGGCCGTCCCCGGAGCCGGGGCCCCGACCGCGGCGCCCCAGGCTGGGTCCCTTCCATCCCAAAGGACGCGTTTTGCCGCACAGGCTAAGATGGCGGCGGCGGCGGCCGAGGAGGCGGAGCTGGTGCGGCACAAGGAGCCCGGGGCCGGGGTTCGGGGCCGGGGTCGCGGCGGCGGTGGCAGCGGAGGAGGCGGAGGCCGCGGGCGCGGGCGCGGGCGCGGGCGCGGGGGGCGGCGGAGCCTGAGGTGAGCCCGGGGCCGCGGCGGCGGCGGCGGCGGTGGCGGCGGCGGGGCGGGGTCGGGCGGGGCGGGCCGCGGTAGCGTTGGGGGCTCGGCGGCGTTCGCTGCGAACGAACCCGCGGACGGACTCACACAAAGGGACCGGGCCGGACCTGGGAGGGGGTGTTTGGTTACATGAAGCGGCACAGCCAGTGAGCGGCGCGGAAGGGCAGGAAGGGGCCGAGGCCCGGCGGGCGCCATTGCCGAGCGCCGAGTAACGGGGCGGCGGCGGCCCCCTCCCGGGCCCGCTCCCCCTTCCCTGCCGAACCCGGGGGGCTCCTCGGGCCGGCGCCCGGCCTCTGCGCCTGGGGCACCCGAGGGAGCCGCGGGGCCCTTCCCCCCAAGCTCTCTGTCGTCGGAAGCCCCCGAGCGGAGCCGGAGCGTCGCGGGGCTTTCGAGGCTCCGCCGGACGCGGATTCCTGTAACTTTGATGGGAAAGTTTGCTCCGCGCCCCGGGGGGGAGTTTTGGAAACTTCTCCCGGAGGGGACGCCCCTTCGTGGGGGGTCACGGAGAGGGGGCCGGCTGATGCTCGCCTGGATGCCGCTGAGTGAGCGCGTCGCGCGCGGGGACCAGCCCCGGGGCAGCGGCGGCAGCGCCCGGATCCGACTGGGCCGGGGCGGTCGGGAGCGGGGAAGCAGCGGGTCCGTCCTGCCCCAGAGTAGTTAGGGAAAGGCGGGGGCAAGACGGAGCTCTCCACCGCCGGGGTGCTCCTCGGGAGGGCCGCAGCGCGGCGACGAGCTGGCCGGAGGCCGACCGCATTTTGTGTCGGAGAGTTGGTAAAAAGGATTTCTTGGTTACTGGCAAGAGTCCCTCCCCGTTGCTTTTACGAGGTATGTTTTCTAGTTGTTAGACGAGGTTTAAATTTAAAGGGTCCGGCAGTAGTACCTTACACCCGACTGTTTCCTAATGTCATCTAAAACATAGTAAACATGCATATAGAGAAGCCACTAATAGATTTGTATAATCATGGCAAAGTTCTCCACTTGATAGAGAAGACTTATGGTGAAGAAGGAAAAGATAAAACAACAACCCTTACTTTAAAGATTGTTAAGTGGAAAATGTTAAAATTGCCCCAGTATCTCTCCTTCCATTCTGATAAATTTTATTATCTTATTCTTCTCTCCCTTTCCCCACCCCCAGCCTAGAAATTTTGTCGAGATTACTGAGTAGGAGATACTTTGGCATTCAGTCACCAAAAAGGAATCGAAGAAGTAAAGGCTTTTAAAACTAGATAATTGTAGTCTCACCTCCACATTTTAAAGGTGAGAAAACTAATAACCAAAGGGTTTACTGGTGGCCAAGGCCACAGAACTAGGTAGTGGTAGAGAGGGTATCTCCCAGAGGTGTCATGCTTACCGGCTGCCTTTCCTTGCCACTAAAACACACCAGCATTAAAACCTAATGGGGAAATGTGTAACAATATGAATATGCAGTACAACTTAGATAATGTTAATTTCTGGGGATCTGTTTCTGTTTTGAGCCTGATACCACTGGATTCTAGAGAACTTGTGTCTTATCTTGCTTGTCAATTACTCTTTCTGTTGATTCCATGTTTCTCTGATTCAAAAATAAAATTTCCACTTGTAGTAAAACTATTTCTAGGGAGACAATTACAGGAAATGATTCTTGGCATGTAAACTAATGAAAATGTGGCCTTAGAGAAAATTGAAACCTTTTAAGTTTGGTTTTGTATAATTACTTTTTAAAAGCTTTTAAAGCAGAAGCAAATTCAAATGCTGTTTTGCGTGTAATATAGACAGTTATGGAAGGTTTTCATATGTAATCCTGACTTCTCAAAATGTTCGACTAAGCTGTCATATATAAAATCCCTTTTGTTGGTTATAGAGTGGAGGAGCCACAGTGTAGAGGCATTCACACCTGATTTAGTAAAAAAATCTGGATTCAGGTCACTGACACTGCAGTTTATACTCCCAAGCTCTAGATGGAGATCCCAGTGTCTTCAGTTTTTACTTGCTTGTGCTTAAAACTTCCATAAGTCTTATTCTTCTTGTTGTGTGAAGATGAACTTTGGTCCTCTTAGGGATTCATCTTATAACAGCTGATTTGCTCTTAGAGCCTTGAGGGTTTTCAAAGCTCAGAATTCCACAGAAGCATCCTGGAAGAGTGTATGTTATCTGAAGAACAGCCGATTTAAGTTTAAAGTTGCTTGTCACCAGGTTAGCTGCAGAGTAATAACATTAGTTGGAGGTAGCCTAAAAACCAAATCAGTTATGGAACCTGGAAAGAAAGTGTGAAGGTGCATGAAAAAAGCAGTAGTGTTTTTCACCAGTACTCTCGATTGTTCTGTCTAGGTCCTTGGGTGCAGCCTTTTGACTTAGTCCAAGTTTTGCAGAACAAATGCTTTTATTAAGGGGATTTGTTCTGTGAAGTTTGGATTCAGTCAGAGGGCCGCACTGGAAGACCTAGAGGGCCATTTGTGGCCTCGAGGCCGAAGGTTCCCCACCCCCGGTAACCAAACTGGCCTTACCGTTGTTCATACGACACACTCCACCTCTGTGCCTTTGCATTGGCTGTGACCCCCATTCCTGTAACTCATTTCCTTCTTAAGGCCTCCTCTTAGAATCCATAGTTTCCCTCAAGCCCTTTTTAAGGTCACCTACTCGAAGCCTTTTATTGTTTCCTTTCAGTTGCTAGTGACTCAAATCACCTGTATATACTGATCATGTACTTATTGCCTCATCCTACAAGACTGGGACTGGTTGACTTTTGTCTTTGTATCCCAGTGGCTACCTAACACCTGCCCTGGCATATAGTAGATGTTTAATAAATACTGATTAATATAATAGCTGTTGGAAAATTAGATGTTAACAGTCATTTTCTGTGACACAGAGAATTCCATTCTTTTTTTTTTTGAGCCGCATTGAGTAAAAGCAGTTAAACTTATATTGCACAAATTCTTTAGTTAGGATGATCTTTTGATTTATTTCACTTTTCTCAAGTTTCTATGCCCATAATCTCATCAGGTGATTTTAATTATCTTAGTTTTATAGTTAGAGCAGATACACACCTATACATATATACATATGTATGCATATATATTTTCAAGCTTTAAAAATTGGCAGATTCCATTTAGTTAATTGTGTCTATGAGCAATAAATGTAATAAAGCATTTATTAAGCACTTGCTACGTGCAGAGCACTGAATATAAACGAAGAACATTCTCAACCTGGAACTTCCTTCAGTCGGGGAATGCCTAGGCCTGACACCCCCAGTCTGTCAGGGGGATGTTCCAGAGTAAGGAGGGCCCAGGCACTGAAGGAAGGTCCAGGTGGAGACTGTCTGAGGCACAGCCTAGATCTCTGAACCAGATTAAAATGTCTTTGGGGAACTGTTTAACAAAATAAATAAAAATATAATACAATATAATGTTATTTGTGATTTTCTAAGTTACTATTCAAGCACAGGATCCATTTCTATTTGAGTTTGAGACTAAGGGTGTAAATGAACTGGGGAAAGTCCGAAGCAGAGCCTGGAGGGGATGGATATTCCAGTGAGGAAGCACTTTTGTTTTTATGGTTGAGGAAACCAGTGCCTCAGCTAGTTAAGTGCCTAAAGTCATGCTAATAGTAAAGTCAGTCTTTCAATAAATAAGTATTAAGCACCTGCTCTGTGCCAGGCACCATGCTAAGCACTAGGCGTACAAAGAAAAGCAAGAGCCTCTGCCCTGGAGCTCACAGTTTAATGGAGGAAGATGACGTGTTAATAACTGTACAAACATACTATAGACTGGATAAATGGGAGCTAATCGATAGAGGAAAGTCACTAGTATTAAGAGGAATGGGGAAAAGCTTCTCATAGAAGATGGGATTTTAGTTGAGACTTAAGACAAGCCAGGAGTAGGTAAAGGCATGGAGGAAAGCCAGTGAAAATGCCTGAAATCTGGAGATAAAGTGGCTTGTGTAAAGAACAACAAGGAGGCCAGTGTCACTGGCTCTGCATTATATATGGGGAGTGAAATAGGTGAGGGGAGTAAGGTGCATGAAGATTGGAAAGGTAGGAGGGGGCCAGGTTGTGAAGGATTTTGAATGCCAAACAGCAAGTTTAGTATTTGAGGTGATAGGGAGACACTGGAGTTGATTGAATAAGAGAGGGTGTGTGTGTGTGTGTGTGTGTGTGTGTGTGTGTGTGTGTGTGTGTGTGTGTGTGTGATGGAGAGACAAGAGATATAGTTATTTGCTTTTTTGGAAACTTATTTTGTTAGCTGAGTGGAAGATGGACTGAAGTAAGGAGAGACTTGAGGCAGGGAGACTAACCAGCCGGCTAATACGATAGTAATAGTCCAGATATGAGGTAAGGAGGTCCTGTACTGTGGTGGCACTGCCAGAGGAGAGAAAGGAGTGCAACTAAACAACGAAAATCAGAGTTGAAACCCAGCTTCTCTGACTTCAAATCTAGGACTTTTTCATTATATTGGGTTCCTATTTGTAACGTCAGTTCACTCTGCTGGCTAGTTGAAACAATAACCTGGTTTTTTTTTTTGTTGTGGTGGTTGTTTTAAACTTCAGGAACTGAGTCATGAGATCTAGAGCTAGTAGGACACATGGCTCTTTATGTGTAATGGAGCCCTAAGAAAAGGGGTTGTCCTGGGAGGTGGTGATGTCTCACTTCTCTTTGTTCCCTGGGGTTGTTGGGTAAGTTGGCTGTTTAACTTATCAAGCGTCAGATCTGCCAGTTGTACATTTACTATTTGAAATTGCTTGTTCGAATCAGAATGTCTTAAGTGATTGTGGAAAGGTTCTGATTTTGTTCTTTTAAAAGGAGAGTACTACCTTTGGAATTTAAAGAGTCTAGGAAAAAAGAAACCAAAAAAAAAAAGAAAAGAAAAAAGAAAGATGGGGCAGCTAGATGGTGCAGTGGATAAAGCACTGGCCCTGGAGTTAGGAGGACTTGAGTTCAAATGTGGTCTCAGACACATGATACTCACTAGCTGTGTGACCCTGGGCAAGTCACTTAACCCTGACTGGCTCGCAAAACAAAAAGAAAAAAAGAAAAAACAGAATGGGTGCAGTAGCATTATAGTGAGGATAGGGAGGAAAAGTGAGAAGGAAGGTTTTTTTTTTTGAGGGAGGGGTAGGTAGGGAGGCAGTGAGAATGAATATTGTGTAGATATTGATATTGAATAAGTATGTATAGATACATATAACTATACATATGTATCACTTTGCAAATTTTAAAGAACAGTATATAGGTTTAGCCATTAGGAAGGCAAAAGGAGTTTCTTAGGTGGTTGCTCTGCATTTATTTCTCTCCTCTCTCAGCATTCTAATCGTTATTACACCATTGTTATTGTTTTATTGTATTATCCTCTAACCAATCCCCTCCCCCTCCATATTTGGAAGCATATGGAACTGTGGGATCATCTGGAAATTGACTTGTATTTTGCATATATATTATATATATATATATATATATATATATATATATATAAAATGATTTGTAATTTTATTTTTCTTGAACCTTAATCATATTAAAAGGCACAAATGCATCTTGATCAAGAGCTTACTTTATTTTGTGGCAAGATTGAAATTGGTTAGGAACACATTTAAATCCTCTGGAAATGTAATGAAGCCTGGTCAGCATGTGTATCGTTCTTTAAGAAGACTAAAATAATAACTTTTTTGAAATGAATTTTTAAAAAATTCAAATGCCTCAATGTCTACTTCAGTTTGGCCATTTTATGAAAGGTTAAAATTCTAATCTTGTCCTCCATGGTGGCTTTTCTGTCTAATATAGATTTTTCTTATTTCATCATCATTCAAAATTTTTGATTTAGGTTTTTTGAAGAAAATAGGGGTGGCACATCCTTGTTCACAGATCCTGTGTATATTTTGCATATATATGTAATTTGTGTAATCTATTCCATATTTTCTCAGCTCTTAATATTTGTTATGTGAAATAGGTTGAAATGAACATCACTGATTCCCTATATTCTATTGAGGTCATAAGGGGATCCTGAATATATACTTCCAGATGTTCATCTCACTGATGTATTGGTGTCCCTTCCAGTGGTGGAGATCTAATGCCATTAATACATTCACATCTCAGTTGTTGTTTGTATTCTTCTGTAAATTACAAATAAAACTTCTACCCAGCAGGTAGTATGAGCCAAATAGATGATTTTCCTCAAATGACACTTCCCTGATTTGGACATGTTTTTCTGTGTGTGTATACTTGACGTACAGACTATGCATTATCTTTACGTCTACCTTTTTATAAAGGGGGAAAGAAAGCCACATGGAACTCACAAAAAACAACCTCTCAAGCTTTTAGACAAAACTATAAAAAGCTGCCAATGAGAATTTAATTAAGTCTGAAGATTAATTTTTAAAATGGATAGTTCTTAGGTATGTGCTGTTCCAGTTCTCAATATATTTGTTTAAGATGTCATCTTCTTTCTTTTTTTTAATGCATTGTTTATTCATAGGGTTATAGAAGAACCTTTGTCTTGATTGTTGAACTGGTGCAAGGCCACTGGCTGAAATGAAGGTTGTTTCGCTTTACTGTTACAGAAAGGGAAGAAAAAAGCTAAATCATCTGATATTCTCTGACTTGAGGCTTTCCAGTGTCATCTATTCAAAGGGTAAAATATAACTAAAATTGAATAGCACTGAAATTTTGAAAATTTGCTCATTTGGAAAAATAAAAACACTTCCGGTATTTTTATACTTTGATATATCATGAACTTTGTTTAATCTCTTATCTATCTAGTTCACAGAATCTCAGTTGGAAGAGACCTCAGAGGCCATCTAGTTTAACTTGTTCCTGAGCAAGAATTCCCTCTAACACATACTAAACAGATGGCCTTTGATGCAAGACCTCTAGTGAAAAGGTGCCCACTGCCTCCTGAAATAGCCCTTTCCGCTTTAGGATAGTTCTGAAGGTTAAGGAACTCTCCTTACACTAAGACTAACTCTCCTGAAATTGAAGAGTTATTTTAAATTCTGCTTTTTGGGGCTGAGAAGAATAAATCTAATCCTTTTTCCTCCTATCTTGAAAATACTTGAATATACCCATCATCTGTTGTCTTCTTCCCCACTCTCTAAAATCTTCTCTTTTGCAGACAAAAAAAAATATCTACACTTTCTCCAGGTGTCATCCCTTTACCATTTTGGTAATGGTCCTCTGCACATTCTTCTGCTTACAAATGTAGTTCCTAAAATGTGATGCCCAGAGCTACACATAATATTTGAGATGTTGTCTGATGAGGGTAAATTACAGTGGGATTGTCACTTTTCTAGTCCTCAAAACTATGCTTCTCAGTGCCGTCTAAGATTAAATTAACTTCTTTGGTTATCTACCATTTTATACTTTTTTTTTGTAATATAAAAACCATGGATCTATTATGTACATGCAGCTTGCATAAAAAAAAAACACCCTATAATTTCCTATTATGACTTAATAATTATAACACAGTTTTAAGGCTGTCCTATTTTTGTTTCCCTCTAAAAATTTTTGTTTTCTTTGTATATTAAACGGGTCTTTGGCATTCCTCTCTACCCCACCACTCCAACAAAAACCAAGACACTTACCTTGGAACAAAGCATAGCCAAATAAAACAGTTCATACATTGGCCGTGTCTGAAGATGCCTGTATGGCTTATTCTGTACTTCTGGTGCTTCGCCTCTCTCCTAAGAGGTATGCAGTCAGTAATTTCTTGGTAAGAGTTATTTCGAAATTTTTTCTTTACAGTGTTGAAGTCATTGGTTGTATAGTTCTTCTGGTTCAGCTTCGGTCTGCATCTGTTCACATGAATCTTCCTATATTTTTCTGAAACTGTACGTTTTGTCATACCATAATTTGTTTATCCTTCTCACATTTGATGGGGCAGCTTCTTGGTTTACGTTTCTTTGATATGACAAAAAGTTGCTATGCATATATTTTGTTCTTTCCTTCTTTGATCTTTTTGGAGTTTGGGCCTGGTTAATGGTATCTTTGGGTCAGAGTTTGGGCATAATTTAATCACTTTTGCTGTGTAGTTTCAAATTCCTTTTCATAATGGGCAGAAGCATTTTATTACTCCACCAACAGTGCCTTCCTCCCACCTACCCTTCAAGGATTTAATTTCCCTTTTTGTCATCTTTAATCAGATAAATGTGAGGAAGAGCCTCAGTTGTTTTGATTTGAATTTCTCTTTTAATGATGTGGAACACTTTTTCATATGGTTGTTCTTAGCTTGTATTTTTTTTCCCTTTACAATCTTCTATTCATATCTTTTGATCACTTATCTTTTGGAGAATTGATTCACTCCATATTTTGAATATCAGGCTTTTATGGAGGAAGCTTGGTGCAATGATATTCCTCCCCCCCTTAACTGTTTACCTTCTAATTTTAAGAACATTGATTTTGTGCAAAAGCTTTTCAGTTTTATGTAACTGAAGTTGTCCTGTTTTACTTCCTCTTTTTCTCTTGCTTGGTCAATAATTTTGCCCCATCCATAGTTGTTAAAGATATTGGCTTTCCTGCTCCTGATTTGTTTATGGTGTGACCTTTTATTTCTGAGTTTTGTATCCATTTGGAGTTTATTGTGGTATGTGGTTGGTCTAAAACCTAATTCTAGTTTCCTAGCATTTTTGTTGAGTGAATCCTTATGCCAGTGATTGGGCTCTTTGCTACTATGTTCCTTTGCTTCTGTATTTTGCCTGCCTTATCTGTTCCACTGATCTTTTTTTATTTAAAAAAAAAATTCAGTACCAGTTTTGATGATTACTATCCTGAGATCTTGTCCTGCTAGGCCCTCTTACTTCCCACACTTTTTCATTATTTCCCTTGAGATTCTTGACCCTTTGTTTGAGCTGAATTTTGATATATTTTTTCTAGCTGTATAAAGTAACCCTTTGGTATTTTGATATGGCGCTGAATAATTAAACCAATGTATCACACTGTTGACTCATAGTTATTACAAATGTGGTAATAGTGGCTATCAAATAATAGAAATTTAATTAAATTCTTAGATTTTAGAAGAAGAAAATCATACTACTAGTAAAAACCTATTTTTATCCTGGATTATGTCATTCAGTAAATATTTATTGAGAATCATCTAACTATGTGGTGCTTTCCTAGAGCTCAGAATCTCTTTTTTTTTTTTGGCTAGGCAGTGGGGTTAAGTGACTTGCCCAAGGTCACACAGCTAGTTAAGTGTTATGTGTCTGAGGCTGGATTTGAACTCAGGTCCTCCTGAATTCAGGGCTGGTGCTCTATCCACTGCGCCACGTAGCTGCCCTATAGAGCTCAGAATCTTGAGAGATAAGACATGCACCTGAGAAAACTAACTAGGCAGTATAGTCCTACAAACGAGAGGGGAGTAGGAAAGGCTTCATGGAGGAAATGGAATTTTAACTGATCTTTGGAGGATGGATAGGATTTGGATAGGGCCAGAGGAGATGGCTGTACCCAGGAAATGCTGGGATGGAGAGTGACATCCAGAGATAAAGGTGGGAGGATAGGTAGGGGTGGAAAGGTAAAAAGGAAGACTGTGGAGGAATTTGAATGCTAGGCTAAGGAAATTGGTCTTACATGCTAGGCAGTAAGAAGTTATGGAGGATTTTTGAACAAGGAAATGCAGCAATTCAAGTGGTATCGTAGAAAGATTGATCTAGTAGCAGTTTGTAGGATGGATTACATTAGAGGAGAGGCTGGGGCATAAAAACTATTTGGAACAGAAGTATCAGATACAAAGCCCTCATTGCTCCAGCCCCTCAGCATTCCTGAATGCAGCCAGAACCAGGTTAAAACATAATTGGGAAATATTTAACAAAATAAAAATACAGTAAAGCATAGATAATGTTAATATGTGATTTTCTCAGTCAGTATGCGCGCATTGGGATCTTTATGTGTACAGTTTAGTCACCCCTTTTCTGTTTGAGTTTGATGTCTCAGATTTAGAAGGTTATTATTATATTATCTCAGATCTGGGTGAAAAAGTGGAGGTAAAAAGAACGGAGAGAAAGAGATGGATGCAGCTTTTTGAAAAAATAGGCCAGATTTGGTGACTAATTGGAGAGCAAGAGGAGGACGAATTGGAGCTTGTGTTGGGTGTTCTTTGAGATATGGAGGTCAAGAGGGCAAGCTAAAGGTCAGAAAGATAAATTCATTTAATGAATATTTATTAAATGTTGCTTGCATACAATGTATGGTATTAAAATTTTTAACTTAGGTTTACAGAGCACTTTTATGATCTACAAAATGGCATCCTTAGAACAACCCTGTGAGGTGTATGTAGCTAGTGTAAATAATGCTCCTATTTAACAGATGGAGGAACTGAAACTATGATTTATCTATAGTCATAAACTAGTAAATTTCAGTCAGGGTTTGAACCCAAGTCTGCTGACTCCATGTCTACTACTCTTTTCTTTCCTATTTTATTATCCACACGGATTCTTCGATATATTTAAGGTAATGACAAGATGGACAAGATCCATCAGGGAATTAAAAATGTGTGACTTGAGCTTGGCAGAGAAGTCAGACTGGTAGATGGAGTTGGAAGGCATCTGAATAGAGGTGATAATGAAACTGTTGAAGTAGATGAAGTTTTTTGGGGGAATAGAATGACACTAAATCTTGACACACCAAAATTTGAGTACTTACCATGTGCCAGTCACTAGTAGGTGCTGGGGATACAAATAGAAGCAAGAAAGATGCTCCTTCCCCTCAAAGAACTTAAATTCTAATGGAATTTCTAATGGAGGAAGACAAAACATAAAGGGCAGTTAGAAAGTGAGGGAGATCCCTCTGGGCAGGGTGGACAGGGAAATTGAGACTTGGTCCCAGATTTGATTGGTGAGATACTCTTCAACCATTCAGATTGTAATCCCTCCTCGTAATCTTCCGTTTGTTACTGGGGTCAAATAAATTCAACACATGATTACCCTTCTGAAAATTAGCCCTTCTGACTCAGGGTGGTTGTCCTCCACTGGATCTATATTCAAAGTCTTTCCCGGTTGGTGTAGAAATTTCTTATAGTTTATGATTTACTGGCCTAACATTTAGAAGCTTAGGATCTCTGCCAAAACAGTGACACACCAGAGTATGACTTTGGTGATGAGTTTATAGAGTAACTAGTAATATTTTATTTAACCATAATACCTTGTTGGATAAGGAACTTAATAAATGCTAGCTGACATCCTGGTTATTATATCATGTAGGAATTTTGTTAATTGACTTAATATAAAAACTTACCCAGTATATGTATATCTAAAGGGAGCATGTGAGAGGAAACTGCCTCTCAACTGTGAGAGTAAATAAGCTTGCTTTCTTCTTTGCTTCTTCTGTTGAGATCGTGTGGTGAGGTGGTGAAATTAGAAATACTTGATGGTTGATGGGACGAGAGCCTTGTGTTATCTGCTCATTAAATCTAGAGCTACCTATCCTTTGAAAAAGCTTATTTCTGAGGAATCTTTTATCAATATATCCTTTTGGGGGGGTACCTGTTATATGTTTAATTAATTGTTATCAAAATATATTTGTATTTTCTTTCTAAATTGTCAGCCTCCATGGCATATTTATTCTCAGTTTAGTAGAGAGAGGAGGTGCTTGGGTCTCTTAGTGTTTTGTCCTTGTTTGGCATTGCTGTATGAATGTGGT